TAAGATATTTCATAAGCTCGTCCGGACTTTCATTCTATTTTCAACAAATAAATGTAGTTGGAAGGGAAAACTCAATTTTAGATAAAAACTTATTTAATAAAATTAAAAATTTTAAGATTAGACAAATACTGTAATGATACTTTTTAAATATGATGGATGTTTTTCTAAATAAAGTATTTTTTCATCTTTCATTTATTGTCGGATTTTTTTTGTCGTGTGTTCCGAGCGTGTGCACAAATATCATAGCAACCATATTATGAATTGATTTGTGTAATAAAGTGATGAAGTGAGTGATTAAGTTATTGCTCTGCATTTGTAATTTGTTTTATGACTCCAAATGCATTTGTGACAAGTACAAATTTATATTCGTGTTAGTCGAAAAACAAAACAAACCATACGTGTTTGTCATGTATGTCAACTCATGTTTATAACCTTATTTTTTCCCTCATCGTTGATGTTGTGGCATGTTTTTCAAGCGGGAGTGAGAGTGGTGCACAAAAAGGTCGACAACTTTTATTTTTTCCTCTTCGTATTGATCCTCAAATTTAGCATGCAATGGTTCTACCTTCGTTGTCGATATGTTTGGTATGCGACGCAAAAAAAATTGTGGACACTGTGGTACAAACGTTGCACATATGAGTTAGAAAGGGCAAGGATGGAATGAGGGGGGGGGGTCACAAAACTTATTAAAACATATCCAAACAGAACTGCTAACTCGGTGGAAAAAGATGAAAACCAAACTAAACATTTTTCGATAAAAGAAAGGCATCGAATGAACAAAAAATAATTTGTAGAAGTATGGTTGAGGACGAAAATGGGGGTCGGTTTCGCAACTGTCCAGTGGAATAATGGGTTTTGCAACTGTCAAGTGAAACGACGAACAACATAATGCGCCAGATAACTTAAAAAAAAACGACAAGTTGGTTTTCAGAGACTGGACTGAAATCGAACCCTCGACAACATTTTGGTTGTCATTGGACTTCTCACACGTATTCCTACCAGCCCCCTCTCAATGGTGGAACTAATGTACGACATGAGGATTAGTGAATACTTATGTAAGGCTTGCTTATAGCGCAACATAAGCAGAAGGGTCACATCCCCGTATGGCAGCCCAGAAGGGTTGAGAGGCATGGCATACTGTTGCTTGGGTGCTGTTTTAGAGTAGCTCTATGACATTCTAAGACATAACTTGAGACACATTCTGATAGTCGCAGTCATTCGGAGAGATACTCAGACATTTTTACCCATACGGGCTGAGAGACTTGATGCAGAGATGCTTGCATCATATTTTACAGTAGCCTTAGGGAATTCTTAGATACATCTTGATACTGACATTTATTCTCATATATACTCAGTTACTTCTCGGAGTCATTCTTAAATATACTTAGTTACTTCCTTGTATCATAGTGAGATATTGGGTCCGTTTCCCAACAAGTGTTGCTCCCCACCAACAGATGGAGCCTTTAGCACAGAGAACCACTTAAACCACCAATACTTAGCCCATACATCGGTCGCGGGCCTTCCCCGTTAACGCACCAGTACCTTAGGGGCTTGACCAAGGCAAGACCCTGTCGGTGCTTGAAGGTCGGATGCCATTGTTTGCGGCATGACACCACCATTAACAGTTAAATATAAGAGAAACAGATGAAAAACAAAGTAGAAAAACATTTTTTTTTTCTTCGCTGACGCTCATACGCGTGTGAGAGAGAGAGAGAAAGTCGTGTTGTTTTTTGTTGCGGCCCTCTATGCAGCTCCAACAAAAAATGTTGTTTCTCTCTCTCTCTCTCTCTATTTTTCTATCTATCTATCCCTGATAAGCGCGAACGGAAGGATAAAAATTTGAATGAATCCTCCTGTTTTTGCGAGAGGATTAATTCGAATGTTTATCCTTTCATCCGCATGTGTCTCACACACACACACACACACAGACACACATACACACAGAGAGAGAGAGAGAGAAAGAGAGAGAGAGAGAGAGAGAGAGAGAGAGAGAGAGAGAGAGAGAGAGAGAGAGAGAGAGAGAGAGAGAGA